GGGGAATCACAGAGCCAGTAAGTGTCTGTGGGAGGATTTGAATTTAGGTCTTCCTGAATGCAGGTTCAGTGATCTATCCATGGCACAGCCTGGCTGGCAAAGAAGACCCCTAGTAAGCTTTCTCACACATGCTTCTTTCTGCTTGGACCCAGAGAGAATCTTAATCAATGGCACTTTGAGGGGGACAGGGAAAAGGGGAAGGGATAGAAGGAATGGTTACCTACAGAGAGGTAATTTTGGTCCAATATTAGGATGACCTTCTTCCCACCCCCCGCCCCCCCATAATCAAATCTGCCAAACAATGGAACAGGCTGCTCAGAGAGCTAGTGAGTGCCTCATTACTAAAAGTATTCAAATGGATGATGGCTGGCCATTTTGTCAGGAATGGTGTGTGTGGCAGGTGGGGGGATTCTAGCTTTAGTTACTGCCTCATCTCAGTTACTGGGGTCCCTTCCAGCCTGATGAGTCTATGAGTCTGGGAAGCCAATGACAGCAGCTGGAGGAAAGGAATTAGGGTAACTGGGGGAATAGCGGGGGTGGGGGGGAAGGGCAGAGTCTCCCGCCCGGCCTTATGTAGAGGAGTCAAAAGGGTGATCAAAATTATATCACTTATCACAGGCTCTGAGAACTGCCAGTTGGTAAAATAATAATTCCTTATAAAACTCCTCCAAATTTCATAAGCCGTAGTATGTGCTCTCCCAGGAAGCTGTAAACAAGTCAGCAAACCCAAGCCTGGCCTGGGGTCCCAGATGACAGACCCCGGGCCTGTTTAATTCCCTTTTATCAAATCCTGTCTCCTGGTCAGCAGTTATTGGTTTCCAGAAAGCCTGAGGGATGGGGAGGAGCTTGGCCTGGCAGATGGGAACACTTGCTTTATGGGGGTGAGGCTAGATATCCCGCCCTGAGGTCTAAGCTCCCCCACTCTTCTTGGGGTCCCACCCACCACATCTTCTTGTGTACCGGGGATGGAGGTGGTACGGGGAGGGGAGCGTCATTCCCCACAGCAGACTATAATCTTGAGCATTGGGTCTGGAGTCATGGGCCCCCGGTTTAAACGCTGGCTTTGGTAGTAGCTATGTCTTCAGATAAGTCCCTTTCCTTCTCTGGCCTCAGTTTTCCCATCTGTACAGAGAAGGAGTTGGGCTGAGTAAGTTCTAATATTCTAGTTTTGAAGCCTATGACACAATGATTGATTCTTAACTAAAAACCTTATTGTTTGGAATAGAAGACTTCCCTCAAATAGGCCACACTCCTAAGTGAGATCTCCCCAAAAGGAGAGCTGATCAGGAGAGGCCAATTAGGATGCGGAAAGGTCTGGGGACATGATGGATCAGAGGAAGGGATTGGGTGTTCAAGGGGAAAAAATGGCTGCCTTCAAGCACCCAGGCTGTTCTACAGAAGAGACTTAGCCCTGTTCTGTTTGGCCCCCAGAGCGCAGACAAAGAAATAGGGGGCGGGGATCAGGAAAGACTTCCTAACAATGAGTGCTCTCCTACATTGGGAAAGAATTTTTACAACCAGTCTCTCTGATAAGGTCCTCATTTCTAAAATATATAGAAAATTAAGTCAAATTGATAAGAATACAAGTCATTCCCCAATTGACAAATGGTCAAAGGATATGAACAGGCAGTTCTCAGATGAAGAAATTAAAGCCGTCTATAGTCACATGAAAAAATGTTCTAAATCACTATTGATTAGAGAAATGCAAATCAAAACAGCTCTGAGGTACCACATTACACCTATCAGATTAGCCAAGAGGACAAAACAAGAAAATGATAAATGTTGGAGAAGATGTGGGAAAACTGGAACACTAATGCATTGTTGGTGGAGTTGTGAAATGATCCAACCATTTTGGAGAGCAATTTGGAACTATGCCCAAAGGGCTATAAAAAATGTGCATACCCTTTGACTCAGCAATAGCACTTTTAGGGCTATATCCCAAAGAGATCACACAAATGGGAAAAGGACCCACATGTACAAAAATATTTATAGCAGCTCTTTTTGTGGTGGCAAAGAAATGGAAGTTGAGAGGATGCCCATCAATTGGGGAATGGCTGAGCAAGTTGTGGTATATGAACGTGATGGAATACTATTGTGCTATAAGAAATGATGAGCAGGCTGACTTCAGAAAAACCTGGAAAGACTTGTATGGTCTGATGCTGAGTGAAGTGAGCAGAACCAAGAGAACATTGTACACAGTAACAGCCACATTGTGCAATGACTAACATTGATAAACTTAACCCTTCCTGGCAACACAAGGACCCAAGACATCTCCAAAGGCCTTGTGATGGCAAATGCTATCCACATCTAAAGAAAGAACTATGGAGTTTGAATGCAGATCGAAGCATACTACTTGTTATTTTTTTTTCTCTTCTACTGAGTTTTGTTTCCTCTTTCTGGTGGTTCCTCCTATTGGTTCTAATTCTTACTTACAACATGACTAATGTGAAAATATGTTTAATATGAATGTAAATGTATAGCCTATATCAGATTGTGCGTCATCTTGGGGAGGGAGGTGGGGAGGAAGGGGGAGAAAAATTTTAAACTCAGCATATGGAAGTGATTGTTGATAAATCAAAATAAATTAATTAAATTTAAAAAAAAGCAATGAGTGCTCTCCCAATGAGGAATGAGATGCCTTGGGAGGTAGTGAGCTCCTCATTACTGGAGGTCTCCAAGCAGAGGCTGGACAGTCACTGATTGGGGATGTTGTGGTGAAGATTCTGCTCAGGAGGCTGTTGGACTAGATGGTGTGCTCATGCAGAATGGCACCAGTAGGTGAGTAGAGTAGAGAGCCATCTCTCTCTCTCTCTCTCTCTCTCTCTGTATTGATTTCTCTCTCTCCCTCTTTCTGTCTGTTTGTCTCTGACTCTCCCTGTCTCTCTCTTTTTCTTTGTCTCTTTCTCTCTGTCTCCCTGTCTCTGTCTCTCCCTGTCTCTGTCTCTTTCTCTGTCTGTCTCCCTGTCTCCGTCTCTGTCTCTCTCCTCTTCCTCTTCCTTGGCTCAGAGTGACTCCAGGTGGTTCTGGAAGCTGATTACTTTGGCTCCAGGAGAAGGACCCTAAAGGAGCCACAGGCCAGCCATCTGGGGCACTGGCCTTCATGGGGAAGGTAAGCAGGAACCCATCCCGGCGCTTTGATCTCCCAGAAGATCCCTGGGGGAGCTGCCAGGGATGAGGGAAGCCGGGAGGCAGGAGCAGGGTCCGTCACTGGGGCTCTGCAGCAAAGCCTGCCACTGCCTGGGCTGGAGGACGTCAGGGGGAGAAAAGCCCGGGGGTCTAGCTCCTGGGGCCCCTGCTTCCTTCTTGCCAATAAGACTTCGTTTGACCTTGGACGAGACATTTCCCTTCCCGGCTTCCTCTTCCAGGTCCACTTAGAGAATGCTATGGCAATTCTTTATTCCATCCATGTTCTGATAAAGAAGAAGGAAGACGTCCGGCCCTCACTGCTGGTGCTCCCCCCAATCTGAGGCTTCCTCCCGTTCCTCCCGCAGGCAGCCGGTCTGTATCGTTGGCGCATCATCTCTCCCTTTAGACTGAACTCCCGGAGGGCTGGGACTGTGCCTGCCTTTCTTTGTATCCCTAGCCCTTGACCAAGGGGTTAATCAGCGCTCATTGACTGACTGGATGAATCACTTTGCTGCTGTTCAGTCACATCTAATCCTTTGTGACCTCATTTGGGGTTTTCTTGGCAGAGATACTGGACAGGTTTGCCATTTCCTTCTCCAGTTCCTTTTACAGATGAGGAAACTGAGGCAAGCAGGGTAAAGTGACTTGCCCAGGGTCACACAGCTTGTAAGTGTCTGAGGCCAGATCTGAACTCAGGACTTCTTGACCCCATTGTTCTATTCGCTGCACCACGTAGATGCCCAGGATGAATCATTGCATCCTCAGAATCATCTACAGTCTCAGTTCCTGGAACAATGGTCACCCAATGAGTGGGCATCACAGCTGGACTCTAGGCCAGGTGACCAAGTCCAGGTGCTCTCATTCATAGCTCCCTCTCCCATACCCTCCCCACCTCACTGTTTAAAGCTAACCCTTGGTTTTAAGATAAACTTGAATCAATTTCCCCTGTTTTATTCAACTGGGTCCAAGCTCTGCCAGCCCCAGGCACAGAAGCTCTCCCCATGTGGGGTGTGGGTTGCTCTAAAGTAAATGGCTTAGTGTTTGAGGGATTGAATTTACAGGATAAGGGGATGGGTACCACCCAAGTACCAAGAGAACACAATTATTAAGAAGCAGCCCCCGTGGCCTTAGCCGGCCGTCCCTGGAGGGTGTGTCCCCGGAGGGTGTGCTGAACGGGGCCTGCAGACCCTGTGTTCTTTGAAGCCTCCTGCTTCTCTCTGCTCCCCTTCCTCTCCTTAGGCCCCTGGCCTTGCAGCAAACTGGCAGGACCAGACAGGAATAGCGTCTTGGGCAGAGACGATGTGGCTGTGTTGCCCTGGTCCCAGACACCCCGGCTGAAGGCATCCTCCACGTGGGTGGGAAAAGCTACGGCGTTCCCTCAATGGAGAGGCCACCCCTGCTCCCCGCCAGCCTCCAAGGCCCACATCTCAGGGCCACGGCATGCCAGCCGTGTGGAGTCTTCAGGGACAGAGGCAACAAGTCCACATTTCTCTGGGTACCATCCCTGGTGGCATGTCCCAAAAGAGCGTTGTAATGAGAGCTGGCCATCGGGGGCTTGGACTCATGGTCTGAAGGAGCTATGCAGAAATAGCTGAGCTTGGTGCTCCCTTTCCAGGGTGGCCAACGCCTAGGTGAGCTCTCCCAGGTCTGGCCCTACGTTGTTCCCTCCCCAGCATCTCAGGCCCTCTGCCTGAGGGGCCATGAGATCTGAGATCCCTCACTGACATCTCCTCCCCCTTCAGCTGAATCTGCCTCAGTGCTGGCCAGAGTTCCTGGCTGTGGTTTTGTCCCAACAGCCAGCACCCCCATCCCTACTCCTACCCCTGCCCCATCCCAAGGCAGAGGGAACATAGCTCTGATCGGTTATCACTCACCGGGTCATTGTGCATCTGGATAATGAGCTGCTTCACCCCGTACAGAGTCGGGTGGGCCCACGGGGAGGGGTCCAGCCAGTGGCGATTCAGATCAAACCCCATCAGGGAGCACCTGGGAAAGAGCCAAGAGAAGCAGTCAGGCAGGGCCTGGGAGAAGAAGGTCAGTGGGGCACAGAGCGGCAGCACAAGAGGGCAGCCAGAGCTTTACCCTGGAGTCTCATGGCAACCCTGGGAGGGAGACAAGGGGAAACTGAGGCACAGAGACAGAAAGGACTTGTCTAAGGTCACTAATAAGTGGTGGAAGCTGGGGTAGGATCTAGGTCTTCTGACCCCAAGTTCTGGGCTCTCTCCATGATGTTATGCTTCCTTTCTAACCAGAAATAACACTAGAATAAGAGTCAGGAAGCCTAGATTTTCAATTCAATTCAGTTCAACTCAGCTCACTCCAATTCAATTAGTCACTATGCTCAGCACTAGGGCGACAGAGATAAAAGCTATTCTGAGTCAGCACCTGCCCTCAAGGAGGAGACACTCTACCAAGGAGGCCCAGCATGAACCCAAATCCGTATAATATAAGGACCATTGAGGAGTAGCAGAGCATTCTGTCAGGATGTGGGAATTGGCTTTCTTTGTCCTGAGCCCCAAAGCCTTTGGAGAAGTGGCCTGGTTTCTGTGATCCCCAAATTCGAATTGTAAGGGTAGGGTGTTGGGGGCAGCTACGTGGTACAGAGGATAGATCATCAGGCTTGGAGTCATGAAGACTCGTCTTCCTGAGTTCAAATCCAGCCTCAGACACTTACTAGTTGTGTGACCCTGGGCAAGTCACTTAACCCTGTTTGCCTCAGTTTCCTCATCTAGAGTGTCAGAGCTGAGAGGACCTTAGAATATGGAATGTCAGAGTGGAACAAGAAGTGGAGGAAGGGCCTTAGAATCTAGAACAGAGAAATGTCAGAGCTGGGAGGAACCTTAGAACTGGGAATGTCAGAGCCAGAGGAGCCTTGCAAGAGAGAATGTCAAAGCAGGGATGTGCCTTAGAATACAGAATGGCAGAACTAGGAGGGCCTTAGAACCTAAAACAGAAATGTCAGGGTTGGGAGGGGTCTTAGAACATGGAATATCAGAGCTGGGAGGGCCTTAGTTCTAGAACAGAGAAACGCCAGGGCTGGGAGGGGCCTTAGAACATGGAATGGCAGAACTGGGAGGGCCTTTAGAGTCTAGAACAGAGAAATGCCAGGACTGGGAGAGGCCTTAGAACATGGAATGGCAGAACTGGGAGGACCTTAGAATCTAGAACAGAGAGATACCAGGACTGGGAGAGGCCTTAGAACATGGAATATCAGAGCTGGGAGGGCCTTAGGTCTAGAACAGAGAAATGCCAGGGCTGGGAGGTGCCTTAGAACATGGAATATCAGAGCTGGGAGGGATACTTATAGATAACCTAATCCATCTTTAGTATTTTACAAAGGAAGTATTCTATTTAGCCAAGGCTAAGAAGCTAGTGTGGGGCTGGAACTAGAAGCCAGCTCTCCCGTCTACCGGGCCCCGTCTTTCCACTGTAGCCCAGCCTGAAACCTTCATCCATCAACACCTGAGCCCCCACACCTCCCCAGCCCAGCGCATGACAGGAGGTGAGCCGGAGCTCAGCCTGGGGAAGGGAGGGATCCAGGCAACACCAGGAGCTGGAGCAGGCTCTGACCCAGCTCCGAATTCGCTGCTCCGAGCTCACAGTCCCTGGCTGCCCCCACTCAAGAGCCTCCATTTCTCCAACAGACACAGCCGCTTCCCCAGGCTTGCACCCGCTCTGCCTTGAAGATGCTGTACACTTCCACCACGGGGGCAGAAGCCGCCTCCACACGCAGGCTGGCCATCTGGGCTCTTTTCTGGGAGCCGCAACGTGAAAGTGATTTAAATAATTGGTTTTGGCCAAGAGCTCTCGTGGGTTAGTTTCTTGATTAGACTTCCAGCCCTCAGAGAAACCTGGCTCCGGTTATAGAGGACACACAGAGAACCAGAGACGACTCATCCCGAGAAGAAGAGGCCAGGGGCTAGCTCATGGCACAAGGTGCAGATTGAGTGGGAGGCTAGGAACCAGCTTCTAATCTTGTCTGTCTTGCTAGCATGCTGGGTGACCTTGGGCCAGTCACCTCCCATCTATGTGTCATTTTTCTCACCTGTCAGAGGGTTAATAAATCCAGACTGTGAGACCTGGAAGAATACTAGGGCCATAGACTGATAATTGGGAAGGGGTTTAGAAGTCCAAGGCATTCCCCTTATCCCTCACTGAAGCCCGCTTTCCCAAACCAATGGGCATGTCAGACCATGCCTGGATTTCTTTTCCTCCACCGCTGTCTCTAGGAGGGAAGGGTCCCTTAGTCCCAGATTCTTATCTTTTCCATCCACTGTGATCAGTTTCTTTTCATTTGTGAGAATCAGATCGAGAATAAAATCTCCCTTTGTCAGTTTTTCCACCAGATGGTGACCCCAGGCTGAGTCCTGACCCTGGCCCCAGACTGAGCCTAATCCTCATCACAGACTGAGTCATTGCATGAATCTCTCCCATTTGTCACAAATGGAAACTGGGCAAGCCAGTGTGGCTGGCTCCATGCAGTCTCTCTCCATATTGAGGCAATCATCTCCTAATGACATTGGGCTGGGAAGATTGAATGTGAGTGCTGGGATGTCAGGAAAAGATCTAGAAATGGCTTCCAAACACTCTCCAGTCCAAGCTGGGGCCAACACACCAAAGCAGGGGGAGGTTTGGTTTTCTTTGAAAAAATCTCCAGATATGGAGACCTCAGAGGCCATGTAGCCCATATGCCCCATTTTCAGAAAGGAAAACTGAGACTCAGAGAGGGGCAGAACCTGGGGCAGAGCCGGCAGTGGAAGCCTGGTCACCTTTCTCACTGACTCAGTTTTTCTACTTTGTCTCCAGGGAGGGCATTGAGTGAGTAGAGGCACACCTGCAGCCTATGGCTGGCCCTGATCCCCCGCACCTTCCCAGCTTTCCCAAGTCCTGGCCAGGGTCGGGTCTACATCCCATTAGACTAGGAGTTCCCTGATGGAAGGGGTCATGCTTTTGCCTTTTTTTGTGTCCTCAGCACTTAGCCGAGTGCCTGGTTCATAGCAGGTGCTTAATAAATGCTTATTGATAGACTGACTTTCGCATCCCCAACTCTGCCAATGTGGCATTCTTGGTCGCTTTCCACACTAACTCCCTCTCCAATGCACGGCTGGAAGCAGAAGGGGGAGAGCTGGTCTCCCCATCTCCCTCGCCCCACCAAGGCTTGACTCTGTGTCCTAAGCAAACTGCTCAGGTTCTCTAAGCCCTGGCTTCCCTATCTTGCTCTCACAAAACAGGAGCAGCTAAGCCATGGAACTTGAGAGTTGGGGGGGGGGGTCATAATTCTTAGAGATCTTAGCCATAGCTTCTGACTTGTACCAGCAAAAGGAGCAGCCAGCTCTGACACAGAGGTCGGAGAACCAGGGCAGACCCAGAGACCAGAGGGAGCAGATTCGGGTCTTTGAGGTGGGAAACAAACATACCTTCCCCCAGCCAATCATCCAACAAGTATGTATTAAGTGCCTACTGTGTACCAGGCACTGTGCTAAGCCCTGGGGATACAAGAAAGGCAAAGCACAGTCCCTGCCCTCAGGGAGCTCACAATCTAACTGGGGAGACAAGTACAAACCAGGTACAGATAAGATGTATACGGGGTGAATCAGAGGTATTGCAGAGGGAAAGAACTTTAGTGGGGGGTGGGCGGGAGGGACCAAGAAAGGCCTCCTTCAGAAGCTGGGGTTTGATCTGTGACATGGAGAAAACCAGGGAAGCCAGAAGGTGGAGGTGAGGAGGGAGAGAGTGACACTCACAGGTGAGATCTGGGACAAAGGCATGGAGGTGGGAGTGCCATGTCTGAAGAACTTCAAGAGGGCCAGGATTGTTAGATTATACAATGTATTTCTTGTTTCCTTTTCAGTCCTGTCCAACTCTCCATGATGCTATTTGGGGTTTTCTTGGCAGAGATACTGGAGTGGTTTGGCATTTCCTTTTCCAGCTCATTCTACAGATGAGGAAACTGAGGCAAACGGGGTGAAATGACTTGCCCAGGGTCACTAGTGTCTGAGGCTGGATTTGAACTCAGTAAGATGGGTCTTCCTGACTCCAGGCCCTGCACTCTGTGCACTATGGTGCCACCTAGCTGCCCAATACAGCGTGTGCTATTCAGTCGTTTGAGTCATGTCTGACTGTTCGTGACCCCTTCTGGAGTTTCTTTGCAAAGATACTAGATGCCGTCAAAGGACCCATGGAAGGGATAAAAGTCTCTCTGCCCAGAATGTGGTTCTGGTTCTCAGGCATCGCGTGGGGAGCCACACCAGTCAGATTTACATGAGGTCGCAGCCCCTATTTCCACTGTCCTCCTTAGAGCACTGAATGCTAGCATCCCAAAGAGTCGTCCAGGCTTTTTATGAAGACCTCTCGTGACAGGGAGATCATTACCTCTCAAGGTGCCTCATTCCATTGTCGGACAGCTCTCGTTGTTAGTCAGTTGTTCTTTATATGTCAAGTCACCAAGGCAACCAGCATTTATTAAGCACCTATGGTGTACCAGCACCATGTGCTGGGGAGAAAAAGAAAGACAGAACCATCCCTGCCCTCTGGGAGGTTACAACCTAATGACACCCAATCTATATGGTACCAACATCGGCTTCTCTGTAACTCACATCCCATTCTTCCTAATTCTGCCCTGTAGGGTCAAGGACAGACTCGAGAACTGGAAATGTCTTTAGAACACAGGACGGAGAAGTGTCAGAGAGCCAGAATGGGACTTAAAACATAGATCAGTCAGAACTGGAGGAAACCTAAGAATACGAAATATCAAGTTCAAACTGGGAGGGATCTTAGAAGAGAACACGGGATGTCAGGACTTGGAGAGACTAGAACATAGAACACGATAGGGTACATCGCCCGGATAAGACTCCTTATTCAAATGGGGAAACTGAGGCCCATCTAGGTTAAGTGACTTGGCCAGGGTCACACAGCTAGGAAACAGTGGAGCAGGGTTTTGAACTCAAGTCCTATGACCGTAATTCTAAGACTTTAGAACAAGGATCATCAGAACTGAAAGGGGCCCTAGAGATAATTTTGAGTGGGGCCAAAATGAGTCCCCAGAGGAGGCGACTGGTCAAAGGTCACACAGCCGCGCGCTGGTCCCAACGCAGCAGCTTTTCTGCCGTCCCGTGCCCAGATTTTATTCAGAGCACGTACAACTGACATCAGCCACCCTCCCTGTGCAAACGGGGGCTCTCTATCTGGAGATGACAAGATAAATGACTTGGCTGGATCTCTCTTCTTAATTAGGTGTTTGTCATGTGTACTCCGTGGAGCCTGGGATAAGCAAACAGCCCTGGCCCTCGGAATGCATTTATTGGTCTTATTTATGTTTCTGGGCATAACAAATCGATAATTGCCAGGTAGGGCCTCCTGCTGCCGCTGCCTAACTGGAAGTTAACGACAATTACCTTTTGTTACCATAGAAATGGGGCCGGAGTCCTTCCCTGCAACAACTCTTCTCACCCCCTCCCCCCGCCCCCTCCCACCAGACCCAGCTTGGGGAGGGGGAAGGCTGCAGTGAAGCATTACCATAGTAATTGCCTCTCTGTCATCATAAAAGCAGCCAGGCCCCCAAAGAGATCTCAAGGCTGCAGAATTTCTCATCCGCCAGAAAACTGGCTAGGAAGCGGGGGCGGCGACAGAAGGGGCAGAGGAAGGAAGCACAAGGGAACCTGAGCTTTCAGAGTTAGAGGGCATCCCAGGGCCATCTTGTCCAGCTCCCACCTGGCCAAGACTTCCCTGATATGGGGTCGTCTTGCTGGAAGACCATCAGGGATGGGGGACTCACTACCTGCCCAGGCTGTGCGTTCCACTTTTGGACAACTCTTCTCATCGGGCAGCTTGTTTGCTTGATTTTTGCCTTTCAATGAGTTGAAGGTGGTGGCAGGGAGTACGGTTACTTTCAGGTCCAAGAGTTAATATTCAGAGGAGGGAGATCTCAGAGGCCAACCTCTTTCACTTACTATATTCAGTCTTAGGTTGTATTTGGGTGGCTATTGGGCTCCATGAAATCCCTGGGTTGTCAAAAGACCTCAAACAGGAAAGCAAATTTGGTGACGCTTACCTTCCCCCTGTGGCAGACGCAGGAGAGAATACGGGCAGGTCTGCAGGGTCTTTAATCTGCCCTGCTGAAGGTCCCTCTTAAACTAGCGAGGTCCCAGACCCATTAGAGTGTTAGGGTACTTCAGTGTTTGGGGAATTGCATTCATCTATGGACACGACTCATCTACAAACCTCACCTTTCCAACAGACATATCTCGCCAAGGTCACCTCATAGATCCCGTGCTTTTGGGGGTTTTTTGTTGGTCTTGTTTTTTGGGCGAGGCAATCACCCAAAGTCGCACAGCTAGTAAGTGTCAAGCGTCTGAGGCCGGGTTTGAACTCAGGTCCTCCTGACTCCAAGGCCAGAGCCTGATGAAGTCCATCCATCCCCCAACCAAGCCCTGCTTGCCTCCTAGGATCCACCCCTACCTAGGAGCATAGGGGATAGGTTTATAGATGGCGTGAAAAGATGGCAGATTTGGAGTCAGGAGACTAGGGTCTGAATACCAGCTCTGCCTCTTCATATGTTGAGGAAGACACTTTGATTCCCTGGGACTCAGTTTCTCCAACTAGACTGGAGTAGATGGTCTCTGAGATCCATTCTGATGCCACATCCATGACCCTATGAAGGGTAGAGGGGTAAGTGCCTTTCTAAAGGTCACTCAGGTAGTAAGGAGCACAGCCAAGACTGGAACCCTGATCTTCAGAGTCCAGATCCCAGGCTTCTCTATATTACGGGAGAAAGCCACAAATACCACATGCACATCACCTCCCGTGTGGAGGTGCTCCGGAATAATAACTCCAGGTCTGAGGCACTCTGTGTGTTAGCACCTGCTCATGAGCCCTCACCAACGACTGTACTTTTACTGGACAGGCAGAGGCCACATGAGCTCAAACAAAAGATGTTTACTCAAATTGGGGTTGGGGATTAGACCCGTGATTTCATTAATCCAGGGAACTCCTGGATGAGGAAACCCCCTCTACCCACTTCCACTGCTAATTTTTGTTTTAAAGAGATGTCCAGAGCACTGAAAGCGTAAGGTGTTTGCTCAGAATCCTCCTACCAGTGTGCGGCATGGGTAAGACTTCTGGGACCTAGGGCTTCATGACCCTGAGGTCAGCTCTCTATCTACCATGCCCCACTGCCTCTTTTACTCAATAATCAAAATGAAAAGAACTCTACCCCCTCTGCCATGTGCACATGGAGTACCCTCTCCCATGGGTTACCATGGCACCCAAAGGGAAGGGCACACAGGCAGAGAGCAGTCATGACTGTGGGGCGCACGTGGAGAGAACAAACATGTTCAGTGAACATATATGATGAGGCACATACCAGGGACCCTTGTGGCCAGGACAACTCACACCTCTGACAGTGCAGGGGAGCTGACATCCCTTAATGTCCTTGAGAGCAAGGTCTGAGCCGACATCTTTGTATTCCCAGAACCAAACTCAGCCTGCCAGACATAGGAGGTACTCAGAGAATGTTAGATGGAGTTGGGGCTTAAAGGAATGGTTAGATTTAGGGAGGAGACCGAAATAAAATACTCCCCCCCAAATGGCTGCCCAATCAAATCCACGCATCATCTCACTCCAGAGAGGGCAAAGGACCTGTGGTCGTAATGCCCTTGTCTCCTGAGAGGTGGGCTGACTGAGCTCTGGTATGGAAGGCCAGCCTGTTGATCAACAAGAAATGCATCTAGGCTCATAGATTTCAACACGGAGGGGTCCTGAGAGGCCCTCTACCCTAGGCCACTCATTCTACAGAGGAGAGAAACGAATCCCAGAGAAGGTGAGTGACTCACTTAGGGTCATGTGGCTCAGCAGCAGCAAAGCTGGGAGTCCAATCCAGGGCTCATTCCACGGCACCCAATAGCCTCTCACCACTGTGAGGATTATCTGTGAACTTCTCTGACCTGAGGCTTAAAGTAGCTAACCGTGTGTGTGTGTGTGTGTGTGTGTGTGTGTGTGTGTCTGGGGTTGTAGTCCCAGCTTGGCCACAAGCTGCTCTGTGACTCCGGCCAGGAAGGACATTTCCTTTATCTGAGCCTCAGTTTCTCGGTTTCCTCATCTGTAATTTGAGGGGCGGGGAATGAATACTCGGTTTGTGGGACCCTAGAACTAATCTCCACCAAAGCTGGTGCTGACCATCCCCTGGGGTCATGGCCAGCCCAAAAGCTGTGCTTTAAGATGCTTTTACGCCCTCTTCCTGCCTCCCTGAGGCTCCCATCCATGAGCTTTCCAGTGGGGTATCCCTTACCTGTAATTTCCCAGGTAGACTCCATCAGGGTTCAACATCGGTGCAATCTTAAAGACCAGGTGGTCCCGCAGGACTTGGGCAATTGGGTGGTGACTCACGAGGAAGTCAATGATCCCTGGGAAGAGGAGGGAAGAGGCAACATTAAAGGTGCTCCCCACCTGGCCAATATTGTGCCCGTCCCTGCTGGCTCAGCAGCAGAGAGGTTACCAGTTCTGGGAAAGAAACCTCTATTCTGGTGCAAAACAGAACAGCACAACAACCCTGGGAGGTAGGCGCTGTCATTATCTCCTTTTTGTCGTTGAGGAAACTGAGGCAGACAGAGGTTGAGTAAATTGCCCAGGGTCACACAGCTAGGCCAGATTTGGCGACATCAGCCAGCAGCTGGAAGAGGGATTTGGCAGGGCGCTGGACGCTGGAGGCCTTCTGGCGGCCCGCTACTCTCTCTACCGAAGTCGGATCCTGATGCTCTCACTTGGGGCTTTCACCAAAAGGGGCTGATTCCTTCATTTCATCAGGCTAAGAGTCAGGAGCTCTTGGTTCTCTTCTATCACCTCCTCAGCATGAGCGCATCTCTGCCCCACCTGGCATCTCAGTTTCCCCTGTAAGACGCGAGTTGGGATAGCTGGCCTCTAGAGTGAATTACAGCTTGGCCAATCTATGGTTGGTATGGATGGTCCCATAAGGCACCGGGACCCCTTCCCTGGGGGGAAAAGGTTTTAAGTGGCCATCTAGGGAGGCAAGTCAGAGATGGGTCAGCAGGGTCACCGGGCAGCTGAAAAGCCAATGCAGCATTGGATTGCCTTAAGAGAGATTTGGTCTGTAAGGATATAAATCCCGCTGTCCTTGGTCCTGGTCGGGCCACATCTGGGGCACTGCGCTCTACTCTGGGCGCTACCACTTAGGAAGAACCCTGACAAGATGAAGAGGGTCCAGAGGAGGGCAGCCAGAATAGGGAGGGCCTGGGGTCCACATCCTGTGAGAACCAGCTGAAAGAACTCCAGAAGAGAAGACTGGAAGTGAGGGTAGCAGAAGCAGACAGGATAGACAACATATCTTCAAATGTTTTAAAGGCTGTCGTGTGGATGAAGAATAAGAGTTTTTACTTCAGGTATGCACTGGACTAGATGTGTCTGAGATCCCTCCCGGGTCTGGGGTTCTGGGATTCTACCAATGCTTTCCTTCTCTCCACTTCCCTGGGGTTTGGCTGAGGTCAACAGCATCTCTCTGTCCAGCTGTCCAGCTGCAGGCTGGGCAGCAGATCCAGACCTTCCCCTGGCTGGTTGGGCAGCTGCCTTCCTTCTTTCATCCTCCCTCCCTGCTTTTAATAGCCGCCTAATTGGCAGGCCAATTAATCTGCTCATCTGTGAAGAGGAAATTTCGGGCACGGAGGCGCTCGGCTTCCAGAAGCCCTCTCGAAGGTAACATTAACCGGACCCGGCTTGCTGAGCACCCTGCAACATGATGTCAGGCCGCGCTGGGAGCCCAGGTCAATTACTGGACAAATTAAGCAATTATTAGCCTCTAACGAGGGCGGCTGGCATCATTACCCTTCCTGTTTACCAGCAAACTGTTATTTTCAGATGAAGACCAACAAATAAATTAGGGAATCTGCTTTGGTGTGGGCTCAGTGGGCAAAGAGATATCATGTTGGCTGTTGTCTCCTAATGGGCACTTGACCTCAGACCGGCCAGGCCCAGCATCCTAAGCCAAGCCAGATCTCCAAAGGGATATGGATCTCTGTCCACATATCATCACCCTCTACCGCCTTCATGGCCAAAACAGTCACTCATTAGTGGCCACACTCCAGGAGCTCAGCCCCTCCATACTGTTTAGCCCCAATATATCTTGTGGTTGTGGAAAGCAGCCTGGATTTAAATCACAGCACTCTCACTAGCTGGCCAGCTTTGGCTGTGCCCCTTCCAGGCCTCAGTTTCCTAATGTGTAAAAATGATTGCATTGCATTAGATATCCAAAGTCTCTTCAGCCCTAAATCCTATGACGTTCTGGGCATTTCCTAGGCTGCTCCACCTGATTCCCCTTCTCCAATTGTGACCTTTCCCTGTCTCCCCACTGGTAACCTGGACTCTGCCCCTGGCCCTGGAAGAGGTCCTTCTGTCTTATCTCACCAGGTGTGTGGCTGAGAAGCATGGGGACAATGCTGTCTCCAGAGAATTCCAGAGCAGGTGCTTCAAAACAAAATTTTGTTCAGCCCCCCCCCCCAATGCAGTGGACAGGTAGTGTGTGGTGCACTTATGACCCATGATGATGGAATGGGGGTGCAGGGAGAAGCACAGAATCTATCCTTAAGGATCCAGGTGACCAGGAAAGGGAGGGGGCCAGTCATATGATATGGTCCCAGAGGGTAGAGCCAGACAGATTTTATTCGGTAGAAGGAAAAGCTTTCTGACAAGTAGAACTGGTCCTAATTGGGGGGTGGGGCTTAGGAGCACTTGTCGGGTCTAATAATAGCTGACATTTAGAGAGCGGCTTGAAGTTGGGGAGCTGTTTTGCATACACTATCTCATTTGATGCCCACAACAACCCCATTTCCTCATTTGTAAAATGGGAATAATAATGCCCACTAGATCCCATGAGATAACACAAGCAAAGTGCTTTGTAAACCTGAAAGTGATATAGATATTCTAGCCATTGTTATCATTATTATTATTCAAGTAGGGAAACTGAGGCCAGAGAGGGCAAGAGACTTGCCCGTAGTCCCATCTGGTATGTAGCAGAGTCAAGATCTGAACTCTGGCCCTCATCTCCAAGTCTAGGGCTCCTTCAGCTGCATCCTAAAGCTCTGCATTCACATCTCTGGGAGCTGCTAGATGGGCTGAATCCGCAAGGGACAGCTCCCCCACTTCCCTTGCAGGCCTTGGTACTACTGCCCTGGCTGGGCCTGGTCATCTCTCCCATTCAGATTCCTAGGGACATCTGCAGGCGTGCAGGTCATACAAAATCAGGCATAACATGCAACACTGGGCTGAAGATGACGATGAAGGATGAAGAAGAAAAAAATGAATGGAAGGGCTTACACATGGGTTCAAAATATCACTTAAAAGTATAACATGGCAGTGGGGAGGAGAAAACAAAAACAGTGCTTTGTCTGAAAAAGATCTGGGGACTCAAGTGGACCACAAGCTCAGTATGAATCAAAGTCGAAAAACTTAGTGTGATCTTGGATGACTTAATCAAGAGAGGCAGGCCTGGTGTCCAGGGATAAGGAAGTGACAGATTCACCGTCCTCTCCTCTGGTCAGGCCACAGCCAGAGGACTGAGTCCAGTCCTGGCCACTACAGTTTAAGAAGGACATTGACATTCAGAGGATGACTACCAGCATGGTAAAGGGCCTTGAGTCCACATCTCATGAGAACCAGTTGACAGAACCAGGGATGACTATCTTAGAGAAGATTCAGGGGAGACCTAACAGCCGTCTTTAAGAACCCAAAGGGTTGTTGTTTGGCTGTAGAGGCCAAGACCAGGAGGTGCCGGCATATATGGAGTCACAGAAAGGCAGCCTTTGGCTTGAAGACTGCCCTAGGCCTTGGAGCTGTCCAAGAGCGGGAGGTGCTGCCTCTGTAGGCGGCCCTGGGGATTTGTGCTCCGGCAGGAGTTGGCTCAGGTGACCTCCAGGGTCCTTCTCGCCCCTGACATTCTGGGAGTCCCATTCCCTCGGCCATTCCCCCTGATCCCCAGAGGGGCTAAGCAGTGGAATCTGTTCATACAAACGTAACAGCCTTCCCTCTCTGCCCTCCAAGCTAATTCTTCTCTAGCCGGTGAGCTTTCTCTGGCTTCGTCTGCCCAGAGGATCCATGGGCCTTCTATAAAATGTCTTCTACTCTCCTCAGCACCTGTTTGTGCCTTCCCACCTGGCCCATAGTACCCTCCACCATCACAGAGACCCAACTGCTTCATTTTGCAGAAGAAGACATAGACCCAGAGAGGTTGTGACTTATAGGAAGTCACAGAGCAAAGACCCCATCCCTAGTTCCCTGACTCCAAAGCCTGGCTCCCTTCTGCTATGCATTCCCCTGGCTCCAGCTCTGGCGTGGCCACTAACACAGCATTTCCTCCTTCAGATTAGGATCTTCAGCTAGACCTACAACTAGAACAGATCTAGAGCGAGAAGGGCCCCAGAGGACATCCAGCCCAACCTTCTCAGTTTGGAGGTGAGGAAACTGAGGCTCGGGTGAGTGAAGTCAGCCAATCAACAAGCATTGATTAAGCCCTCACCCTGTGCTGGAAGACAAAAGCAGGGCTCCTGACCTCAGGGAGCTCCTATTCTAGCTGGGCCAATGACATGTAAATGACTAGGCATACACAAGATATATGCAGTGTAGATGGAAGGCCGTTTGAGAGGAGGGCACGAGCAGCAGGGGTGGGGATGGAGAACTGGGAAAGATCTCCTGGAGAAGGTGCTATTGGTGCTGAGTCTTACGAAGTCCAGAGGTGGGGGTGAGAAGGGGCAGCATCTCAGGCATGGTGGACAGCAGTGCCAAGGAGTAACATTGAAATGGAGGGTCAGGTGTGAGGAACTGCAAAGAGACCAGTGAGGCTGGACCACCAAGTGTATGGAGAGAAATCAAAGACAAGAAGACTGGGAAGGCAGGAAGGGGCCGAGGTGTGATGGACTCTTCAGTCCAAACAAGGGACCTTATATTTGATCCTGGTGGTAATCGGTGGTCATCGGAGTTTACTGAATGGGGCAGGGGGGTGGGAGGATGAGGAGGGTGACACGGTCACACCTACATTTTAGAAAGGTCACTTTGGCCTCTGTGTGGAGGAGTAATTGGAATGGGGAGAGATGAGACGGGGAGGCCAATTAAGAGGTAATTGTGATAGCCCAGGTGAAAGATGATGAGGACCTGAACTAGACTGTTTGGCTGGAGAGAAGGGGACATATATGACTGACATTGCAAAATTACAAGATTTGAGAACAGGCTGGATATGTGGGGTGAGTGCAAGGCTTTGAAGAGGGCATCTAGGTTGCAAGCCAAGGTGACTGAGGGGGTGCTGGTACCCTCAGTATAAAGGGGGAAGTTCATAAGAGAGGAGGGTTCTGAGGGAAAGATCATGAGTTCTGTTTTGGATGTGTGAGGGTTGAGATGTCTATGG